ATATTAGCCATATTGTAAAAGGATTCTGCAATAGAAAGAATGTGTAAAAGTTCAGCTTGTGATGATGCAACCCAAAGAGTATCATTCATAAAAGCAAGATCTGAGTTTCTTTTCTTGTTATCTTAGAATATGAAGTTTAAATATATTCTTTTTATTGTAAAAGAATCGAATTAAATTTCAATAAAGATAGAGACATGGTCTCACTATTAATATTCAAAAAAAAAATTTTAATTATATAGTCATCAAACAATACTGTATTTTATCGTAGCGATCAAATTACATTTTAATAAATATATAATGATGAATTGTACTAATTTTAATTTTCTTTAATAAAAAAAATAAGCCTGATTTTTTTTATTTTTAAAACAATGCAGCATTCTGAATCTTTAGATAGTCAACTTTCTGATTTTTTTTCACTAATAATACACCATCCCAAAAAAGTAAAAAAGTTTATAAGAAGCTGCAAGCAAATCAAAGTCATACAAATTATTTTTTTTAGAAAGATGAAAATAATTCACAAGTAGTTTATTGTCAAATTTGTACTAATAGTTCTAAAAAACTTTATCTTTATATGAGAAAAGATGAAAACACCACAAATTTAATTGGTCATTTATAGGATAAGCATAACATTACTAAAGCAAATTATAAGCAATATTTGAATGCTAACAATGAAGTAATAATAATTTAATTTTGATAATTAAAAATTTTAACCTATTATATTAATTATATATTGTATATATTAGATAATAAATCAGTTTATTGAAACACATGATGATATTCCTTATTGTCTGCCAGAAAAACAGGAGCTTGTAATTCACAAATTAATTACTTTTATTGTTAAATTCATTCAACCATTATATATTTTGGACAATGAATCATTTCAAAACTTGATGATAACATGTATATCTGGATATAAAACTCCTTGTATAAAAACTGCAAAAGATATAATTTATAATGCATATTAACTAAATAAGGATCAGCTAAAATTGATATTAGATACAAGCATAGAAATAATACATCTAATGATAGATTTATGAACTGCAAAGTTGCAACATAGGTATTTTGAAATAACCGGTATTTGGTTAACTCCTAATTTTGAATTTCATGAAGTTCTTTTAAAATGTGAACACTTGTCATATCCACATTCAGAGGAAATTATTAGCCAAAAATTATACAAAGTTATTCAAAAATAGAATTTACAAAAATCTGTTTTTACTATAGTAATAGATAACAGATTAAATATGATTTGTGGGATAAATTTACTTTCAGAAAATTATTTTTCTTCTGTTATTAAACAACTCTGTGTAGCCTACACATTACAACTTTCTGTACAAGAAAAGCTTAAACAATGTAAAGGCTTTTATCAATGTAAAAAATTTGCAATTCTTTTTTAAGCTTCCAAAGTAAGCAGAAAGGCTTTGGATTGCTCAAAATAAGCTTAATTCATCTTCTCAATTAAATGCAACTATAAATTCATTAGATGTTTTGAATGTAGGGTTCAGGACATGGGAAAAAAATCGGGCATGCCTCTATGGGCATGCCCTTGAGCTAAGGCATGCCCTTCATGCCAATGGGCATGCACTTTTTAAATCATATGATTAACATATAGTTCACAACTTCTTAAAAATCTTATATGTTGATTTAGTATCTACGGTTCTAGTTTTACCTGAACTTATTAGTCAATTAAAATAGCTTTGAACATCACATGACAAGAGCATACCCTTTGGACTTGAGGCATGCCCATGGGCATGTTCTAGGGGCATGCCCATGCTTCTATGCCCTGAACCCTATTTGGATGATACTAAAACATGTTGAAATTCTACATATTATGCATATAAACATATTTTTAAGCTTCATAATGCTATACATCAGATTTCAAATTTCTTACTTCTAAGTTCTGAATGTTTGCTACAAAAAGAAGGAGAAAAATTAGAACAACTTTGTCTTACTTTGGATGAAAAACAGTAAGTTTTGAGAAATTTTATTATACTTTAAATAGCAATTCTAATCTTTATTTAAGAATTAATATCACAACTGATGCTGAAATTCAGAGAGCTAGAATTGATAATTAAAGAGTAAATGTGAATTTTAGCAGTGTTTATCTTTTCAAATTGAGACTTCAAATTTTAGCATCAACTATTTTCAGCATCAGTTGTGACAATTAATTTATTGATGCTAGGGATGTGAAAATTTCAGTCCGGTCCAACTTGATTCTAGAAGTCAAGTTATAATTTGTACTCAGTTCCAAGTAGGCTTGGGGTTATTTAAGTAATACTGTAATACAAAATTCAAAGTTTGAACCTTGTTTATGTATTTTATATAACAGAATAAGTTTTTGTCCCAAGTCTGCTTGAGACCAAGTACAAATTATGACTCAACTTCTAGAGCAGACTGAACTTTTCACATTTCTAATTAATATATGTATATTAGGTGTTTCAAAAGTCGTCCTTTATTTTTAAGTAAAGATTATTATAATCTCTATATATATAAAAATAAAGACTGTGTACAAAAACTTTTGAAACGCCCAATATATAAATAAATAAATAATTATTAGTAAACTGGTTTAATTTATTAATATATTTATTTAATTTATTTTTAGATTTCTTTGTAATATTATTAATATATTAGCCTCTTTTGAAAAAATTATATTATATTTCTGGTGCAAATTAACCCACATTTAGTATGATTCATCTATATATAGAAATACTTAAAGATTATTTGCACCTCAATCAGATCAAGGAGAAATAAAAAAATTGTACATTGAGTTAGTTTATAGTTACACATCTGATGATGATAATAATAGTACTGATCATAGTTCAGATTCTGTTAGTAACAATAATGATATACCAAGTGGTAGAGCTTACCAACATTGGCAATATGCTCATAGGCAATTTTGTCAATATATAAAAAAAGTAAAAGGGAAAAACAAATAGGGGCTAAAAGAAAATATCAATCAAAAAAAAATTACAATCTAATAATTTAGATAATATTAATATGTTTGAATATTTACCTTCTGTTGATCCTGATAGTTTATTGCAAAGAGTTCGTACTGCCATCTTTTTGTCTTTAGATAAGCTTTGAGCTATACCATCAGACCTGGTTTTGATTGTATCTATCCTTGACCTATGGTTCAAAACTTTTCAGTGAACACCAGATCAATTCGAACATGCAAGAAGATTACTTAAATGGTCTTATAGTAAAATGAAAACAGCACTTGAATTATTAATTTTAAATAATTTTTCAGGTGAACTAACCAATAATTCAAAAATTAATAATGACAATAAATTTTTTAGTCAATTAAAAATAACATCTCAACAAGTATTAGAATTAGGATACAGGACAGGTTGGGTTTAACCTGAAATTTTACAGGTCAGGTCGCAGTCAGATCCAGATTAGATTCAAATTATAAACCTGTTATTAAATCAGATTAGATTCAGATCAGACCTATTAAAGTATCAGGTCAGGTTTAGGTTCTGTTTATTGACCTGTAAAACCTGATTAAACTTGATATGATTTTTAAAAAATTCTTACCCCTAGCTGCAGCTGATCCATAGTTAAAATTTGCCTTCAAATTATAGTTTAAGCTGCAGCTGATATTAATAAAATTTCTATCATATAATTGTTGTTTTCACCTCTATAATAAATAGCTATGAGTTGAATAAATTATTTTAATTAATCTTCAATAAGTTAATTTTTCATTATGCATTACTCTTCAGTTCAAATTTTTCAAAATTTTAATTTTTTTACATAAACAATTTACTTTATCATAAACAAAATAATGACATTTGATTCAAAATAATACTAATAATAATTATTATTTAATCAAAATATAAAGACATGCCAAACTTACTTGAGGTTAATTCAGAATGGTTCTCTTTATAAAACTTGATTGGTTGAATTTACAAATTTTAGCATTATCCATCTCAGCATCATTAACATGATTAAATAATACTTTCATATTGTTGACAACTTTAAATATTCATATTAAATCTGTTGCCAATTTTGGTATATTTGTATTTATATGAAGATTGCACTAGGCTATCAATAATATATAAAATGCTTTATACTTGATGGTCGAAAAAGATTCAGCAAAATAATATGCAACAAATTTTTTTCATATTTAAGAATAATAACTAATACTAAATTATTCTTTCATTTAAACAAATGCTAAAAATATCAAGATGATCTAAATATTATCACACAATAGATAATTATTTACAGAGTGAAAACTAGTGTTCGAAAAAGTCAGCACAGATTGGATTTGGATTTGTGTGGATCCAAACCGTTGGATTAGGTTTGGCCTCTGAAACATCAGATTGGGCTCAGATTGAGCAGGATTGGGCCTAATTTTAGGTCATGTCTTTATATAATCACTCTATATGATAAATTCGAATTTGTCACGTGATAAATTTGAATATATCACATCTTGTACTACAATATAAGTAATAAATTCAAATTTGTCATGTGATAAATTCAAATTTATCACTTACATTGTGACAAATATATGTGACAAACTGTCAGATTAGCACAGATTACTCCCAGATTCAATCTGAATTACAGATTCAGATCAATTCCGTATTACCCAGGATTTTTAATCTGTTTTCGAACACTAGTGAAAACTTATTTTCAGATCTTTTTTTCACACACTAACAAATCAATAATAAATAAATTAACAAATTAAGAATACTGTGCAATATATGATTATCTTTTCTAAATAAAAAATTTAATGTCAGTATTAGACCTAAGGTTTACAAGTTTAGTGTAAACATTATATACAAATAATCTTTTTTAAAGTTGTATGCAAGTAGGTTACGATAAATATATATATAAACCCAGTATATTTAGGGAAGTCATTTTTAGTCATATAAAATTTTATACAGTATTATTTCGAAAAGAAATGCAGGTTTTGTAGTTTATTTATTCCGCCATATGCATTTCTTTAATAAGTAGCAAAATTTCGCAAACACATGCTATTTTATTTGCAATATAATCATACACTTTGTCAATATCACTCTGTTCCTGATATAATCAGGCTAGATCGGGTCAGGTCGGGTTCATTTAAACCCAACCTGAACCTGATAAAAAATTTTTATAACAGATTAGGTTTGGGTCAGGTTTTAATTGGATTCAGGTCGTATTTAAATAAATCTGACCTGATCCGACATGTTTTATGCCCTAATTAGAATTAATTGAATTAAATGAAGTAACATGTTATTTAGCATTAGAAAGTATAAGGCATAGTACTCTTTCCAACAATCATCTGGTCAACAAAAAACAAGAAACCGAACTACGGTCAGCACTATAGAAGACGCTTAAGTAAATAATAAACTTGGTCCTACAGAAGTAGGTGTGTTGTCGATGAAGTCACAAGAGTGTAAAACTAGGGAGTGGTTTACTTTGGACTAGTTTTAGTAGAGGTCAAGCTCTTCTTCTGGCGGACTCCTCTGCCTATTCGGCATCTAAACCAAAAAGATATTTTGGAAACACAGAACATCTAGGATGACACTAGGTGTATTACAAGCTTAAGGTATATCTATACAACAGTAAAACTTACAAGGAACAACTACAGAAAAGTTTTATTAGTCCACCACTTTTTTCGAGGAAATTTTGTTAAAAAGTGGGCTTTTTAGTTTACTTTTCTAAAAGATCGATACGTAATTTTCCAAAACAAGTCAGTATTATTTACCTGTCTAGAAATAGATAGGATTTTTATAACGGGATATCAGGCAGACATTCAGATTAAGCAACCATATATGGACTGTATGACAACACAAATGGTATACGTGCCTTGACTGGAAAAACTGTAGACAATACTTCAAGACTTTCATATTTCAGGCTATTCTGTTTTATTTAGCTGTCTTTTTTTTATGTTTTTTTTTTATATATATATATTATTAGGATAGAGTTAGATACAGAGCTTCTTTACCTATTAATATGTAATTTTTAAGGCCTGATACAGGCCTATAACTGTGACCTATCAGATCTTCTTTTCTTTTTCTTCCCCCTTTTGTCTTTGTATTTGTTTTTTAGTTTTAGTTTCCATTTTTTTTAGTATCTCCCCTTTAATATTAGTGTTAGTGTTAGTAAAAATTTTTTTTTCTTTCCATTTCCCAACAAGAACTCTGATTGGCCAAAATTATTTATCTTATTCACGTGAAATTTGATTATTGTCTTAAAAGATAGTAATTTATATTAGTTAATTGTTAATTTATTCTTTAATTCATAAACTTTAACTATTACGTATTTACTATAAAAGTTTATTTTTATAAAAAGATTGTAAAAAACATTCAATCTTAAGAATTTGTTAAAAATAATACAAAAATTTTGCAGGTTTGATTATAAAAAAGCATCAAATTTTAGATTTCTTTAAATATTTTATTAACAATTATTAATAGCAGCTTTGTAAAAAAAAAATTAAAAATTATTAGCAAAAGCAATTTGTGCATGATATTAATAAATTAAAGTATATTTATATAATATGTAATAAGTAAGCAGTGATGTTCTATAGAATAGGTGGCAATATAAGAAACAAGCTTCACTAATAATTAGTAATCATTAATTTTTTAATATTAGAGTTGCTAAGTTGACAGAGTTTGCATATCTATTCTATAAAACATCCGCAAGCAGAATGATTGTGCATACAAGATTTGTTTTTATATGAATTATAGTACTATTGTGATAAAAACATTTTAACATATTTACTATTTCTCTTTAAAAATAGTAACTTACTTACTAAATCTGGTGTTAGCTGTATTCTTTTTGATGTGATAAGATTACCTGCATTTGAAAATAACCTTTCAGATGGAACCGAAAAGGCTGATATTAAAAGGTATTTTCTGACTAGCTGTGCAAGAATTGGTAATTCAGATTTATATAATTGCCACCATTTCATCAAATCTTCATCAAGCCTTATACTTTCTAATTTTTTTTTTCCACTTAGGCCATCTTGCCTTTAGTCTCCTTTATTACTTTATTATTGTATAGTATTACAAAAAGCCTTAGCAT